CAGTGTGATGCTTGCAAAAGAGCTTTTCATACAAAGTTGATGTTACAAAGGCATTATGAAGCCGACCACTTGGGCATTAAGAATCATGTTTGCAATATCTGTGGAAAAGCATTTGGATACAGGAATGCTATGATGAAACACCAAAGGCATGTCCACAAGAGAGCTAAACTGCTATTTGGTAGAATGCCAGCTTATTTAGAAGCTCAGCATGGTTGCTAAACATGTCATTTAGTTTCACTTTTCTGATCTCTACTATTTATTACTTTAATATAGATATTATTTCAATAAAAAAATATACTTAATCTTATTATTGCGTTGTTTCATGTAATTAGAATTAATGCTGGGATGTAAAACAAATGAAAGAACAGAAAGAGAAATGGTCTTTTTATTGGTTTGTCATCCCATCTCATCTCAGTCTCTTTGTCTAACTGAATGTTAGCAAAATATATGCATTTTGATTTTTTAATAATGCTGCTCTCCTGCAGTCGTCAAGTGATCGCTTGCGTGACTACTGAGCAAGCAATCTTGTCCTAAGACTGTTTATACTATGAAGCTAAAAACCTGGATGTTTGTTTCATGGCTTATAGTGCTTATACCCAATCAAAGTTGACGAACTCAAGAGTAATGTGCTCGGTGTGCTGAAATACTTATTAAGTAGTTTAGAGCTCAATAATTTAATTTGGGTGTTCAGTGTTTTATTATGAAGTGTACCACCCACTTTCAAAGAGTATGTAACCACTACGTTTACCCACTTTGTTCCTATCTTCTCTTCGTGGAGCATTTCTTCAGAACAACTCTACTTCTCTATGGTCAGTACTTGTACCAGAGACTAATTTAGGAAGACTCATTGACTTATGAAATATATTATTTTCTATCTCAATGGGAAGACTGGTCCAAATGTCCAATCTGTGTCAATGACATTTCTGTGATAACATTTGTAAACAAATACACAGTAAACAATAAAAGGTACATTCGTAATCCCCAAAATTAATACATAATCATATTACAGTGCGATGTCGGGATCGTATTTTATGTTGAAATTCTTGAAAAATATACGTCTGAAGAATCAACGTAAATTACTGAAAGCCCAAAGTGCTGTTGGTAATTTGAAAATAATGAAGAGCCGAAATAAATGCAGAATATGTTTAAAAGAAGGCATTAAACCAATTTTTACAACTAACAGTGACTCTAATAATATCGCAGAAGCTATACGAACATTCGGGGGTATAGAAGTGAGCGAAAATGATGACTATCCGAAATATTTATGTACGACGTGCCATAACTTTCTTCAAAATGCTTTGGCTTTTCGGAAATCAGCTCAAGAGACTGATACACTTCTGAGACAAACCACGATTTTGGATTCATCAGAAGAATCGGATGAAGTTGATGATGCTGTTAATGATACCTTTGAACCAGAAATACTTGAACAAAAACATAACTCATACAGTTGCAAGCTATGTAATCTCAGTTTCAAATCGTTCGATGAATTATTAGCACATAAAAATTCAAGAAATCACAAAAAAGTTCGCATACAATGCCCTTTGTGCTTCAGGTTGTTAACTGCTCAGTTGTATAAAAAGCATTTAGCCAGGCACCAGTCAGCCTCTCATCTAGTTTGTGATATCTGTGGGAAATTATACCGTAAAGACAATTTAGTTAGACATTTGCAGTTACACAGTTTTGAACTGCCTTTTCAGTGTCAAGTCTGTCCATACAGAGGCAGGTTTATGGAGTCCCTGAAGATACATATGCGAACTCATACAGGTGACAAACCTTTTTCGTGTGATAAATGTGAATTAAGATTTTTAACTCGAAGCAACTTGAACAGACATCTGTTGACACATAAAAAAGAAAGGCCTTTCAAATGTCCTGAATGTGGAAGAGGATTTTACACTAAGAGGGATATGGACATACATTTTAAAGCTGATCATGCTGGTCTTAAAGATTTTGGATGTAGAGATTGTGGTAATAAATATGGAACCAGAAAGGCTCTTATGAGGCATGAGCTAAGGGTGCATAAAAGAGACAAAATGGCTAAGGGAAGAATGCCATTGTATTTACAAGCAGAGTATCAGAAACATGATGAAGTTGTGGAGTGAAAAATAAAGTAAATTAATACTTATTTTGCCTACTTACTAGAGTATTGTGTGCCAATTTTCCATGTAGGTATATAGTTTATATGTATTTCACACTTAGATGAATTAGATATAAATAAATAGCCATAATAACAATTGTAGTTGGCTAGAAGTTTCAAATAAAAAGTACCTATTTACTAAAAATGAAACAAAATTTATTGCATCAATATTTATTTTAATAAGAAGTGTGAGTTGTAGTTTTTTTAATTAATACTTTCAATAAATTATTAGAATCAAATATTACAATCTGATTGGACTAGAATGCTTAAAAGATCGTATTATTATTGGTTAAAAATATTTGTCTTAAAACCTAAGAGTTTACACAGACAACATTCAGTACATTGGTAAATAAAATCACACAGATTAAATATAAATATTTGGTGTAACTACTGAACAATGGAAGATTTCATAGTAACTATTTTAGTATAAATATCTAAATAAAGGCCACTTTATCACTTATGTTACAATTATCGGATGGACACAAACAATGGGCAAGGCTGTTAAGGCATCATTAACCTCATGACTGCCACTGTTTGAGACACAATAGAAAATACATTGTCCCTCTCTTAAGATCTATGTTCAGGCAAACCATGGGTTAAATCACATTTTCTATTTAACAAAACTTGCTACTAGTAAAAAAACAAATAAACATGACACTATTGAGTGGTATGACCATATGTAGCAATGGCTCCTTGGCCATATAAACAGAAAAATTCTACAGCAGTTTAAACATTTGAATCCCATTATGTAGAAAGTTCCAGTAGAATTTCAAAAGATTGTTTATAAATATTTTTAATTTGGCAAGAATTTGCAAATGTGCTAATAAAGTTAAAATCCTAAAGAAATATTTAAAATACACAGTAGTTGATTTTTTTATTATAGCAGTGAACTATAAATAGGTTCACAGTCTTGTAATTTAGGTATCAAAATAGTATAACTTCCCAAATGTGCTGCAAAATAACACTGTGACGAACACTGTACTTAAATTCTTGTGTCACATCTAAAATAATTCTGACAATCAGAATACTTGCATAAAAATGCCTAACAAGATTACCTATATTGTGTAGATAAAATAGTGATTACAATACATTTTATTCAATAAAAACATTAAAACTTTGAACTTTTAAAAACAGTAAACATTTTTCCATTCATGTAGAAATAATAATTATAAACTATGACTAGTAAAATAGTAGGACTGAAGCAATAAATTGGCTAAAATACAACACAAAAGCTTTGTAAATATGTTAAAAATGTTTAAAAAGTTAGCCAGTCAACATATTTAGGCTTACACTCAATAATATAAAACTATATTGCAAGGCTTCACTCTAGAATTGCCTATAAATAATGGCCTGCATTAGCACAAAATACTTACAACTATCCTCTTTGCTTTCTCTTTATATTTTAAAGATGTATAATATGTGTACGATATTTCAATTTGGCATAGGACATCTTAGAAAGTGCATATCCCATAAATAATTTTATGAGTCATAAATTTTGAATGGCTATGAAATTCAAACAGAATGATGTCATAACATTAATATTATGCTAATAGTGTCATATCTTTGGTCTTATTTTTAATCTTATCATGTAAGATGAATGTCTGGCATATTTTCTTAATTATTATTTGTCAATGAAGGCAGTATAATTAGGATAACAGTAGGTAAATAGGGATTATTTCTTAAAATACTCTTTGTATAAAATTTTGTGAACAATACTGGCCTAAAAATAGTGCAAAAGGCACTCTGTCCCTTGTGGGATGTACAATCTTTTACAACCTTGTACTTTTAGTCATATGAGGGTCCTCTACAAAGGGAAACTATAAACATGGATGCAAACACAAACTCTAGCATCTGAATGCAAAGCATGAGAGTACACCAAATATACTCTATTCTCAGGACCACAACTTGGAAGATGAGGAGGTACATTACACCCATAATAGATGGTACTGTCAGTAGCACTGAGAATATAACTGGTAGATCTGGAAAAACGTTAATGAACTTGTTATTTCAAATTATCTAATAAAGTCTTATACTCAAAATTAGTATTAACGATTTGTAAAATATTTAGTGTTTCGCAATATATCCAATTTTAGTCAATATAAATAAACATTTATATTTAAATACAGACTTGTTGTGCTATACCAATAACCCACTTACCTTTCTCGCTTAGACTTCCTTTACGCCCCAATATAAGGCGGGTCGCTTCAATAATGAATAAGCCAACAAGTACTCCATAATCTCGCCCTATTTTGGTTGGATCTTTGTCTACTTCATATTTTTCAATAATTAATACTGACTTCAGAATAAGAGTCCCCAGTTCACACGTCGCAAATAGACCGAAATAAAATGAATTTATGTATAGCAGAATTTCGTATGCTAAACTCGAATTAACCATTTTTTAAATACGTATTTGTATTTCTTTCAGTCAGATTATTAGATAAATAACAAAAACAAAGAAACTGTCAAAGGCACACTCGATATTGATATTTAGATAATAATTTTATCTAATAACTAAACCTATACGGAAAAAGAAAATTATTTAAAAATAGAACTCTCAGCTCCGGAGGGCACAATATAAAATGACAATGATGACAGGCGTTCGTGATTGGACAATGACATTTGACAGAATTAACGAGTATTGCTAGAATACAAAAAAGTCACAACATTGATTTTTATACCAGCTGGGTGAAGCAAAATGTGGATAAGATAATTAAGAGTGCTAAATAGCGAGCCAATTAAATCAACTGAATTTCATTAAATACTTATTAAGGATACAAGTTTGGCATTTTGCTAATCTTATCTCGAGTTTTTTTATGTCAATGACCCATTTCTATTCTAATTAGATAAATGGCAATACTAAAGTAAGTGCAACGGCCGACGCCAACGGGGGTGGTTGTGTTGCACGTGGTTTTGCTTTGTACTGTAATGCAGTTGTTATGAATAAAAAACTTTAAATTAGGTTTAAAAAGTGTCCGATTTATAATAACTGATAAACGTTACAGCGCCAGCGTTTTATGTTTTGGTAAGTGTTATATATTTAAAATAAAGATTACCACGCGCTCAGTAGGGCACATTTTAAATTGTCTTTTTGGATCCTAACGGGATGGTATCTTTTTTATTTAGTTTCTAAGTTTGTTGTGTGTTTAATAGTGACGGAAGAGTAGTTAATTTCGTAATGCGAGTGATATGTGGACTTGTCGTTGCGATAGTATACCGTATTTTCTTATCTCATTAAAGCGGTTTTGGTCTCTCAAGTTGACGAATGCATAGAAGTACCTATAGCTTTAGAAAGTTTTTTTTTATATTTATTTACGTATCTCTGTAGAATTATTACAAGCGGCTGACGTAAGGTTATCTCTCAGTTTACATGTTATTATAGCAATTTAAATTTTGATAAGGAAAGATTAATTTGGTATTTTTATTTTGTTGAAAATTTATATTAAATATAGGTTGGTATTGTTGAACATAAAAAGTAATAGAGAACAGGTATAAATAACATCTGACATAAATAAATAATCCGTTTGGAAGTTATAGTTACAATTAGCTATCTAATGGTGTATTAGTTAGTACAACCTCATTACAACATTACTTAATTAGGTATTTTAATAATATTAAGTATTATTAATTTGTTTTTTTGCCGTCAATCAAATAAGTTTATTAAAGAAAATCAACTTTTTATTTTATAGGCCACAGACTAATTTCAAACTGATAACATAAGTACCTTAGTCATTCTACAATACACTAAAATATTATAAATAAAAAACATTTTTTTTTCTATTTCATCAACACTGACACAGATCAGTTGCACATCCTGCCTATTATATTTCACACAAAGAGTTAAGTGATTCATATCCATTATAATGACTTTCTTTGTACAAGCATAATATACAACATATTTATAATAAGTGCTCTTATTAAAATTACTTACTCTCATGTTTTGGTTACCTAAACAAATAAAAAAAATAGTTTTGTTTATAGATAAAAAGAATTGTCTATGTCATTATAACTGGTTTTTAATTGCAGACTATCTGTGAACAAAATATCTATTCATATTTTCAAATGTACAGAATTAAAAAAAAAACAGTAATGTATTTTCAACACATTATTAGGAAGAATAAAAGGGAGTTTTAATAGACATGCACTTAGCTACACTTTACTTAGTAAATTAAGTTATTACAAACAAGTTAATTAAAATTTTCATTTCTGTTTTAATTGTTAATGGACCAGGCTTTGACTTGGATGCCATCATTATCACATGTGAAGGTTCATTGTCTGTATTTTTACTAAAGGAATAAGAGAAATCTATTTTATCTTGGTATATGTACGGTCAGCTACAGAAAAATGGACCCCCCCTGAAGTACAAATATGTATGCAGCTATCTGCATAGGGGGACCTTTTTCTCTGCAGCTGAGTGTACTATCATGTTCTGTATACCTAATTTCAAAAATTAGTCACACCTTTAGACAGTCCACCTCCATAGAAATACAATAAACAAAAATTAACATGGTTTATTTATTCATCCTAAACTTCATACCAAATAGCTATGTAGGTAGAGAATGTACATTAACTGTTTGTTATGAATAGGTTTTCCTAATTCATAATAAACTGTATCAGTATCCTTATAAAATATAAACTTTATTGTTATCCCTAAGTCTGAAGGTGTACTGTGTTGAAAACACATAAATTATTGTGATGTGAAAAACAACTATGTTTTTTATGGATCTTCAGTCTTTCAATTCAAATGTGTCAACCATACAGCCAGTGAAAAGTTTTTTTCTTTTATAATAAAATTGTGCACTGTATTTTGTTAATCACCAAGTTTCAGATGGATATTGACTTCTGGGACACCCTGTGTGTGTTTGTAGAGATATTTGTGACATATTATATTATTAATTGAAAAGTGATCACCTTGATTTTTATCATGCAATACAGCAATTTAATTAGGTAGTTATTTAATGTCATATCCAATCCATAGATTAGATATGTTATTTCTAAGATAAATGTTGCTAGTGGATGTATTTGGCTCCTTTAAATGTCTTGCAGCCATATTAAAACTATAAATGGTAAATTAATTTTGGCTTTGTTTAATTAACATTACTTTTTAATCAAACTCTTCAATCAGTTGTGCCATCCTGGCATATTAGAAATGTAAAAGTTTTTTTGTCTTTTTCACTTTTTCACATCAACTTAAACACTTATTATAGTATATTTTTTGTGTCTGAGGATAGAGTTTAGGGGGCTGAAGAGGATATAGGCAATTTTTCGCCTTGATCACGTGGCCGAAGGTTGAGAGTGAATAACAGTAGTGTTTAAAAACTTTTATGATTAACTTCCGCAAAATGCTAGAAGAGGTTTGTAACTGAAACTGTAGGTAAATGAAATATGTCAAAAAAATTCGACCTATGATTTATAAAAATATGTTAAAGACACGCAAAGAAAAGAGCGATGTATTTAGATAATAAAGTAAAAATATTTGATTGTATGAAGTATTCCATACATTCATGGAGCAAGAAGCCATGTAAATGACCCTTATCTCCTAACTCATTAGGAATAATTTGGCACGAGCGACATCGAAAACGTAATTTAAGGCCATTTACCGAAAGAAGAATTTTAGATAATTATTTAGTCTCGTGTCGCCAGATAATACTGACTTCCTGTTGGCATAAGAACTCTTTCTTTCCACAATTTAATGTGAATCATTAAAGGAGTATTTAAAAGTTTTTTTCAGTTCATGTTGACATCATCACAATTTATTCTTCGTGGGTGGTTAAATTTTTACGACATCGTCTTTCAATTTCACTTGCTCGTCTATCTCAATTAATCTACTAAAGCGACTTAGACTGAAATCTATTTAATATCAGTAGTATTTTAATCACATTCTAATTTTGAAAATAGACAAGAGACTCGCGTATGTATGTATGTATATTTTTGCGCTAGATCTAAATACTCTTTGAATTTCGAAGTGCATCTATTTTTTTCCCTATGAAATCCTGTCACAAGCTGCTAGCCATACCTAAGCATCATATTAGCAGTGGTGCAATTTTCACAAATGATGCATTTTTATGTTCGAACAAAAAATTACTTTGTCATTAAAAGGTCAATAACATGTCCACAAGTATAAGTATAACATCGAGTGTAAAATTGATACATTTTTGAGCATCTTAAATAACTTGGTAAGTATCTGTTTTGAATACAATGGCCGGATGAGTGAGGCGTTTGAAAGTTGAGTAAGACAACCACAACTGTCTAAATAAATTCTTTGCATAATTAAAAAAGTTCTTGCTATGTTCAAAGCACGTAAAACAAAGTATTAACAGATTGGAGTTAAGAAATCTTGGCTTTTCATTATATAGACAGTTACATTACTGCCTAGTATAAAACATAGTCGCTTTCTCTTTCCCTATATCCCGAAGTATGCTTAAATCTATAAAACTACGCAACGAATTTTGATACGGGTTGTTTTATAGATAGAGTGATTGAAGAGGAAGGTTTAGGTATATATATTGCACCTGTGCGAAACGGGGTGGGTAGTTGATAATATAGTCTACCTTTGAACTAATTTCAATTGGCATTCAGACGCGATAGCCATTTTTTTTTTGTGAGGGGATAATCATCAAAAATTATTTCTCAAGAGGGTGTGTCAGACTCTTTCTGGCTAAAAATCCCTTCGTTCCTTCTCCTGCGGTGCCTTATTGCGCTCGCCCCGCAACCCCGGCTGAATCAGTCAGCCATTGAGAATTTGAGACGTGATTTAGTATCAAAAAACATAATGAGGATGTTTGAAGAATTGAATAATTTTAAAAATTGTTTTATACTTATACATACATATAAATCAATCATCATAATACATACTGCGTAATTTGATTACGATTGAAACAATGTCAACGGAATTCTGTGTACAGTTTTCTGGCACTCAGCTCGTTTTACAGTCAATCCAGCTTTTTTTGTTTTGCCTTTCATTTGTTTTTCGTCATGTAAAATTGTTTTTTGTTTACTATGGAAACGATTCATTTGTTATCATAATACTTCTTATTTTTTCAATTTTAAATTGTTATTTTTTTTTAATTCGTGGAAGTATTTCTGAATTTATATTAAACCTACATTCAGATGAATTGTTGCTAATTTAAAGCTACATTCAGAGGAATAGGAATCAATTTGTTTTGAAACTGGCCGCCTGATTTCACGTGATGTGATAAAACGAAAATTATGATGATGTGATAAAGCGAGTTCGGAATTTAAATATTGCAAATTTAAATAGAAGAATTTGAATATGTTGTGTAGAAGGATAAATACCGATTAAGATGTGAGTGTGTGTGTGTGTGTGTGACTTGTGTGAGGAATGAAAAGGTTTGCGAAAATTGAAGATGCCTAAAGACGTATTATACCGACACCAGGCAGTTTAAGAAAAGGGCAGGAAGAATAGTTTCCATATTTTAAACACAACGCTCCAACACTAAACATATTTTAAAAGTAAACTTGATATCAGAGTTACCGTGTATTTATAAACAAAAAACACAACTCCATATTGTATAACCATCATAAAATTATTACCAAAGTCTTACCTTTATCTAGTAACCAAGCCAATGTGATAAAAATGTACTAGTGTACTAGTAGCATTCAAATATTTATCTGTATTACGATTTTTAAACATTATTTTTATACATAAGAAAGATAACAATTATTATAATGTAATAGCGATCGCCCGCAGCTCCGCCCGCGTCGATGTCGATAATACACTTTTTCAAGATTTTCGGCAACCGCTAGTTATACATAATGTACCTTCCTCTTCAATCATTCTATGTATTAAAAACCGCATCAAAATCCGTTGCGTAGTTTTAAAGATTTAAGCATACATATGGATATAGGAACAGAGAAAGCGACTTTGTTTTACTATCTAGTGATAAAGTTTATTTTCCAATCTGGCTTTGCTACATTTTTAAACTGATTTTGCTGGAGGCTGGAAGGTACACAGAAGCGAATAAAAGGGCTCAGTCTCTTTAAGTTTAGATCGGACATGAGTTACAAAGTCATGTATGCATAAAACGAATGCTATAATTAATGATTTATGCCGGATATAGACCATTGAAACAGACACGCACGACGGAAACCTAACCGTTTTTGATCGATCAGTTTTTGAGATGTCTCACTAAAATTGCTAGAGCAAACGCAATCATGAATGGAATAAATGATTTGGACTCTGGACTTCGGCATGAAATATTTCATTTAAGTTTTGGTTAAAGTCTAGTTGCTAGGTTTTAAAGCATATCTCAATGCGTAAGCAAATCTAACACTATTGACAACCAAACAGATACCGAATCGTTTTTTTTTAAATGTAACGCTACTTTTTTCAACGTCTTACTGTATAGTCAATAATCTTCAATTTTATCTCATTGTTGTATGTATTTCAATGAAAGTATAATTTATCTATAAGTAGTAATTTTATAAAGAGGTACAGTTTGTAAGTTTGTATGTAGGGGGTAATCTATGGAACTGCTGGTCGGATTGCCAAAATTCTTTCATTGATAGATAGCTATAATGTTCCTCAGGCTATAAAACATCACGCTACGATCAAATGGAGCCGAGCAGCGGGTGAAATCGCGAGAGAGAAGCTAGTGTACTATAAAATTGTACGAGTATCAATGATTAATGTCTAGAAAACTAGTCTTTAAAACATTAGATACTAAAAATGTAAGTTTAATGATACCGTTTCGCTCGAATTACTAACGTTCGCAATTTTAAATTTCGAAATTATTGGTGTTAATACGTTGATTAGTGTTTTTATAAATTAATTACACATTTGGTTGGCTAATAAGTGTAATAAAAAAAGTATTTATATTAATACGTAAAATACTTGATATTGTTATATATACTTATCTTTCGTTGATTAAAAAACATTCTGACATTGATCTGAATAATTAATTATGCGTGACCAATATAGTTCGATGCGAGAAGATTGATTGTTTTTTGTCGCACACTCGACAAACGCACTAAGAAGATGTTATATCAATACCTAGCTTCCGCCCGCGACTTCGCCCGCGTGGTATGTTGATAAAAAGCAGTCAGTGTGTTATTTACATCACCTATTTACATACCAAACAACGAAATCGGTCGTATTAGCGTGAAAGAATAACAATCATAAATTCATAGGTACATTCTCACATTTATATTATTAAGTAGGAAGTAGAATTTATACATCAATCATAAACAAAATGGAACACGAAATGCACTTTCAAAATGCAATGCAAAACACTCGAGAGTTTAAAGACCGGCTCTTAAAGACGCTAATTTTGTCTACAGACACAGTCGTCCATTGCGTCGACGAAGAACACAGATGCCAGTATCAGTTTTATGATATTAGTGTACCTGTGAGCCATGGAGATGTCGCACCAAGGTGGGGCGGAGGGCGAGAGCCTCCTGAGGCAGGAGAGGGGAGCCGTCGTCATGCCTGGGCAGAGACAAGGACGTAAGTACCTATTCTTAAACCAAATTCTAGTTCTAAGTCAAAAATTACAAGCTTACAGGAGAGTTAAAAAAATGGCGTACTAAAAAAAAAACAGTTTATGGGATCACGATGTTTTACAACGAATATTTCCTACGATTCTAATTTCTATGGACTTTTTTGATTGCGTCCAAAAGTAAAATCAGAGCGTATCTAAGTAATTAAAAATATAAAATTTGTAATTGAACTAATTTCAATATGTACGATGATTTTTAAAATAGGTATTCTGAGTGTATCAAAGAAGATCTGAAGTTAAGCAAGAAGATTTCATTATGCCTATAATGTCAATGCTTTTATTAAAAAAAAACAGCATTTTCGCCATAGCCTGGTTCTGTTCTATTTACTTTTGAATGCATTCACAATAAGAGAGATGCATTATGCATACATGCATATTTGAACTAGGTATTTTTCTTCAACAATGTATTATCTATTGTAGGTATATTTGAAACCGCTATCTTGCGGAATCGTTTCCTGTCAGATAACACTGATAATCCCCTTTCCGTTTACCGTGACTCCGCCGTATAATACGGGAACTTCTTTGTGCCAATAATACAAAGAAAATATCAAGATCTGATTCATATTGTAATCACGTCCTACTTATTCTGTGCATTCGCAAATGCACGCTCATGTAACTTGAGTCTGCCAAAAACGTTTAGAGAGGCGCGCGAAAAATGATCTCCAAGAAACTGCTCGAATCATCGCTAAATCTGCATTTTAAGGTCATCTCATTAGCCGTACTGTGCTAATTTTGTCATGATTTGACCTTGAAGAAGATTATTGAATGATCATGTAACATGTCAACACTTTTTCGTATGATAATGTTGTTTATTAATAATCCTTAGTGAGCGATTCCTGACGTCGCAGACAAACCTTCGCGAATTTTAGTACATTGCATATATTAAGGTACATTGCTGTTTCTCTTAGCAAGTCTTACCCTGTCCTTATCAACGGTGGTTAAAATCGGCCTTAGCCATGAACAATAATTATTAGATAGTTAGAAAAATACATTTACAATACCTTCTTTAATTAATTGCAATGATCTTGCATTGTTCGTTTATTTCATTATAATTTCTATGAACTCCTAACATTGTAGTCGCATCAAACTTAAGGTGCCCTTTCAGATTGTGAACGAAAGAAAGTCGTGTAAAAATAATAAAATGTAAAATAAGACAAGAAAAATAAAGGTATCAAATCTCATTTGGAAAGTTACCAAAACCGAATATAGACAGATAGTCGACAAAAAATCGTTTTCGGAAAGCTATGAATGGTTAACGATCTTGCTTTCGAATAATGTAGGTGCTTCGTGAAAAATGTGTTACGTTTTTTCATGCGAATACGTGTTGGCATGGCAAGTTTAGCAATATTTGGGCAAAGCTTCTAAATGCACACGATTACTTTTGTCGAATAATTTGTATGTGAAATTATTTACCAGATATCTGTAAAATTTTTATAAATACCTACTATCAAGTAGTAGCAAGAAAACTATATGTTCATCATAAAATAATAGTATTTTTGTATTTGTGGTGCAAATCTAAATATCTGTCCAAACTTCCAAACTAATATTATAAATTTGAAAGTAACTCTGTCTGTCTATCGCTTTGTCCTTTCTTCCCGCCTAAACTACTGAACCGATTTCTGTGAAATTTAGTATAGACATAGTTTGGAACTTGAGAAAGGACGTAGGATAGTTTTTATACCAAAAATCTGCAGGAAGTCACTTACACAAGTCGCGGGCAAAAGCTGGTTGTAATTGTAAAATATATTGCAGAAGGCAACGATCAGACAGTTTTGTCGCGCCTACCAGGTTTCTGCTGAGTCATCATAGTGTTGCTAATGTGACCTCATTACCCAATTTGACCCCTTTTCTCACCCTAAATAATATAAATCGAAATGTAGGTTCAGAATATTTTAAAAGCACCTACTCAAAATCTCTTCAAAGTAAAAATTCTACAAGTAAAACTTTTTGCATAAAACTTCTATAGAGAAACTTGGCTTTTATTTGACGGCACTATTTCTTTCTTTGCTCTTATAAACTTGGTTTTATGCTTTCTCTACTCTTTATTTTATGGTATTGGTTAACTTACAATGTGTAGAATGCCTATATATGTATCTTTAAGTTAATAAAGTAGAATAGAAGATCAGTCTCATTTCGAATTATGTATTTGTTTTCTATTTACGAACTTTTATCGGTTAGTGTTTAATATCGGTAGTACTAGATCTTTTTGTTATAATAGTATTTTCCTACTAAAAGACTGAACTTCCCATTCACGAGGGCGCGGTTTCGGAACCTGACAAGTACCAATATGACGTTTTCAAGTTATTTGTACTTTCTAAGTTTAGTTAGACACCACTGACAAACCGTGAAGGAAAATATCTTGAGGACACCACTGGTCTCATAACTTTCTAGTTTATTGTAAGATTGATGATCACCAATCCGTATTGACTAATGTGATTATGCTCATACCTTCTCCGTGTAAGAAGATTCAGCAGAAGACACTTATAGGCTGACTATGATGTCGATTAATCATATTCAACAGAGACCCGACAGAAGAGCTTTCTGGTAAACCTAATCCAGTTAAAATGCAATCTCCAACTTGTCTGCCAAGTAAGTTGATAATGATAGACCTGATAGAAAAGACCCAGTAGATCAGAAAATCAGGTTTTATAAATAAATGAATAAAAATACAAATAATAAATGTCCCTACACGTCTAACTAAGTAAAGTATTTAGATATTTTCTTGACACCAATATCAATATGTAGTTAACGTCTTTGGCATTGAACACGGTATGTTTACGATATTCTCAGTGCCTTCTCTATTAAATTTATGCTTACTATGATTTGTCGCACACACGTGTATTACGAACAATGGATCATCGATTTATTTACAAATGTCTCATGTGAAGTAGGTACATGTTCTCCTAACTATGCATAATAGATGCAACTAGATTTTCTGTTGTATAAGCTAAAACTAATTTAGGCTAGGTGGGCGATGCATACTTACATAGTAACTGTTCCTTGTATGCCAACTGAAACTTGATTGACATTGCAAATTCAGGCTAAGGATGTGTTTTTTCTTTCAGTTAAGACATAGTGATTGGTCGTTGAAGCTATAATATAATGAGTTGCAAATATAAACTAATTTCTTGAAATCATAATCTAATCCTACGACATTCATCGTGACTATTATAATTGCATTTCCATAAAATTAAATGTAAATTTTCTTAATAAGTGATAAATAAAATTATGCATATACTTTGTGTCTTCAGTTCTTCGTAACATTTCCAGTCCATAATTTTCACGCTTTGTTTTGAATGACTCATAACTTAATAAAAATAGCTGTATATTATTTTGTTTACTAAAGCAACCGAGTATAAAGTATTGTTATGGGCGTAAAATATTAGTCATTATATGAAATTATACATGCACTAACTAACACAAATTAACTGAAGAAAATTCGATTTCAGTCTTTAGTAAGTATACCATGGAGACAAGAGTTGGGTATTTTCCAATTTAATTTTGTAGAATTAAATGTTCAAAAATAATCGTACTTCGATGGATTTGACGATGTACTTGACTTTAGATTTTTACTAGTTACATTTTAAGAAAAAAGTATGCTTTTTGATACAAAAATACGATGACGTCACATTTCTGTTTTTCATACCAAATTCTTAGAACAGTTTCGTTTTTGAAATATCAATTAAAGTATTGCATTTGATTAGTTGTCAAATACCGCATTGTCTAATGGGCCTGCCCCCATCACATATACAACTTATAAGCTAGCAAAGAGTGGGCGCTATGTACATAAATGCCCCATCCTAAAGCGAAAGGTAAAGCAATGTATGTAAACAATAAAACAATCATTAAACCAGTTTAGTACACCCACTTGAGACACTATCTTGGACAAGTATCTCCTCTCCAAAGATGTCAGTGGTATTGTGTGTAGTGAGACATGTTTACAACTCATTACGACACATCCGATGTTAACTATTCAGTATTTCCTTATTACTAGAGTTTAAATTCCTTCGTTATACCATGCCAAGATAGTGAGTAAGACCAGCTTGTTTGTGTTATTGTCAATATTCTAATGTTTGTTATATGGAAATTACGCAGATACAAAAATTTTTGATCCCTCGTCGCGTCTGTTGTGAACGAATATGCAATCGATATACATATCGCGTTATTGAGTTCAGCTCTTTGAAAATAGAACTTCGTAAGTATAATATTACGGAGGAAACGTTTTAAAGATTTAGGGATTGGGGGAGGAGAAGGTTGGGGCCTCCGGAAAGCAAGCTCACACGGCGAAACACAACGCTGTGTTTCACGCCGGTTTCGAGCCGACCCACTCGTGCCGAATCATGGCTAGACTGATCTGCAGCTTTCAGCAATAAATAGGAATGTACGAATAAATTGCTAAATCAAAAATATCATTCAACATCTTGTAACCACAGTGTATTTGCGTTATAAACGTTTACGATCAACCTCGCTTGTTATAAACTGGGAGACCACGAAAACTGTATCTATTTATAGCAATAATCACTGTAGAATGGTTCAACCAGAAACATACTATATTATTATTACCTAAAGTTCGATTTTTGATCACCTGATAAATAGTCACTGTTCGTTCCATTTTTAATTAGCGTTGAATCGCGAAGTGTGGTTACGTCAAAAACTTGTTAACATACATAACATCTTGATTTTCAGTCACAGAAGCCATAACATCTTTGATTAAATCAGCTTATCACTTGAGTATATGCGGTCTTATAATCGTCAATAAATCTTAACGAGTTTTGCATAAATCAAATATCTTTTCGACCTAAACTCACGAGGATACTTAGTTAATGGTTGTTAGTAACATTGCAACAATTCATAGAGATTTAAAAGCAAAATATTTTCCTATTTCTTCTTAAGGAACGCGGCAAGAAGATTATAATAAGTGTACAAACCTGGCAGACGGACTACAACA